GTGTGCAGGGATGCATTAAAGGGCAGTGTTATCAGTGGGTCAAGGGAGGTGTTTTTTCCTCTCCACTCAGGACTGGTGAGGTGTACTGCATCCAGTTCTGGGCTCCTCACTACAAGAGACACATGGACGGGCTGGAGGGAGTACAACAAACATCCACAAAGCTGATGATGATGTTAGGAAAGGCTGAGAGAGCTGGGACTGTTTGGTGTGGAGCAGTGCCAGGGGGTAACTCATCGGTGTGTACAAATACCTGAAGGAGGGGTGCAAAGAAAACAGAGCCAGGCTATTTTCAGTCGTTCCCAGTGACAGGACCAGCGGCAACGTGTGCTAACTGAAACACAGGAGTTTCCCACAGAACATCAGGAAACACTTTTTCACTGTGAGGATGACCAAGGACTGGTACAGATTGCTCAAAGAGGCTGTGGAGTCTCCACCCTTATAAATGTTTTAAGAAGCCCATCTGGACACACACCTGATAAACCTGCCATAAATCTGGCATTGTTTGAAAAAACAGGTTGGACCAGCTGGCATCTAGAGGTTCTGTCCAACCTCAGCCATTCTGTGATTCTGATATCATATTCTGTGATATTCTATGACATGAATTCTATGATAAGAATATGATATGTGATTCCATGATATTGCTGGTATTCAGACACTTCAAGATGGAAAAAAATATATATATTGACAACAAATGCAGACAGTGGGGGGCTACTCCATCCTCCACTTCTATTTTATTATTGAGTTTGGGTATCCCTCAGAGGAGATGGAAGTGCAGAATTCATTAATTTTCACTTCTGGTTTCTTTTTGAGACATGCTCTATACTTATATACTCTAAATTTACTAAATTCATTTTTCACTGAAGCAAAGCAATACAAGCATATAACTCTATATTTTGTCAGGAAATAAAGGAAATCATGCATTCACAGCAAGAAGCTTCACTGAATTTCATTTTCTCGTGAAAAACAGAACTGATGTCTTCCTATAGATTGCTTCCTTGCACTGGAAAGTGACTTCAAAATTAAAAATCAGGCCACAAAGAAGTGTGGGTGTGGTTATTTGAGCAGGAGACTAAGTGAATAAATTTTTAATTAAAACACTTAAACACTTTCAAAATGAAAGAAAAGAAAAACTTGCCTTTTGCCTTTGTTGGCATGAGTGCTGCATTTGGAATTTGGATGGCCCCTGGAAATTAAATTATTCCAGTTGTGTTTTGTTTGCTTTTCTTAAAGCTGTTATTTTTGTAAGATAATCAGTAGCAACATAGGCAATAATATGACAATAGTACCTATAACAGAGACCTAATTTATTCTGTCAGTGTCTGTTTATATTATTCATTAATGTTAGCAAAATAAAAAAAAAATATAATATTAATACTTTAATTTTATTCTGGTTTCACTTTTAATTGAGAGTCGAGTAAATCAAATCCCATGTTTAGCCATCTAAAAATATATCAAACATGACATTTAGTGGGAGTTTCACTGAAAAAAAAACTAGCTAATAGTATAGCTAGTAAATAATATACTGCAAGAAAATGTCATAAAGCAAATTATAAATGAAACTGGAAAACTAGTTTTTTATACAATATGCAGAGACTTACTGACTGGTGATTAATATGTTTAATAAATATAGACTTTTAATAAAAGGCAGCAGTCTACAAGACTAACAAAAGGTACAATTTCTCTGAAATAAATTGTTCTAATTATCAAATTTTGTATATATTTAGATATAGCTATAGCTTCTATTACAACTCTGTGGACACAAATGACCATAGAAGACAAGAAAGTGGACTTTCATAAATGCTTGATATTAGTTTGTTATCTTACCTACATATGCTTTGGTATTTCTGGGAGCCAATTTAAACATGCCCTAATAGGAGAGCTGAAAATATGGGAATTGCCAGATTTTTTTTTTTTACAGAATTTTGTCACCCTGTTTAGAAATTAGGGCCATGTACAGTCAGTTCCTACTGCACCATCAATACACTGAGACTTGTTAAAAAAAACATAGAATTTGTTTTGATTGTGGTAATTTGTACACTTGAATAAAAACATGAGAAAATAACTGGTTTACACTCCAGTACTGAGTGAATCTAATATCAAGATTGGCTAGTCTTGGTAATAGCCATTACTTTAATATTACTGTTTTTTCATAAAAAAACCAAACCACAGCCATTAAAAGCATCACATTGCCAAGTTTAAATAATCATTGCTTACAAAGTATATTCTGACAGTCAAACCCAAGGCTTTCAGAAGTTACTTTTGGCTGTAGTGATGTGGCTGTTCAGTCCTGAAGCTGAGATACTGTAACAGGATCTGACTAAAACAGATAAAGAATGAATTCTGAAAATCAGGGTCCTGTCTACAGGCAAGCAATCACATATATAGAAAAGATGAGGATAAGCACAAGGCTTGAAAAATTAGTATGTAGACAAAGTGTACATGTCTGAGAGCAAAGATGCATATAGGTGTATGTAGCCTGTGGCAGAAGCACATTGAGAGTAAGTGCAAGTTCAAACCTCATCTCTGAACCTGAATCCCTTTACCAAGTCTCCAAAGGCACTTCTTACTTCCTCATCAGTAAGTTTAGTGATTTGGAAAAAATAAGAGAGCTAGCATGTTTTGTATGTATTTTTAAAAAGCAAAATCATTATATTCCATATATAATGGAATATATTTGTCCTACCAAATCTAAAATAGGATGGAGGCAATTTGTTTTGTTTAGTATTATAGTAACTAGTAATTTGATAATGAATAACTAGCTATAACAGAGGGTGACAGTAAAGAAGTGACAGCCAAGAACATCAACTATTTTTCTAAGAAAAACTTTCTTTCCAAGAGTACCAAATAACTCATTATGTATTATTCCCTCATAGGCCTATATTTCACTAGAAGCAATTTTCCTCTTGCAGCTGCCTGTGCACAATCTTCCTTAAAGTGCTTCATGGCAATCCATATTTTGTTCCCTGGCTTCTTTTCTGTATTATTTCTACACTGAGTGTGCCACCTTCCATTTGCACTGGCACTCCTCCTCTGGTGCTATATTTGCTGCAAAATTCTACCTACACTACTGCCATCACCACGCATCAGCAATTAGGGACTGTCTACTTCAAACTTACTGGAATCAATTGACCATAGTAGTAATTTTTCCTAGTTGAAAACCAATTTCCTTCTCCTTTGAATTTGAGAAAAAAAAAAAAAAAAGCATCAGTTTAATCTGAGACCTTGTTTTAGTTCAATTGAAGACACTGCAGAAGTATCTGCTTTAGTAAAGGCACACAGGAGAGATCCTGCCACTTCCTCTGATACTACAATCATGTTTAAAACAAACCCAAACCTCAAAGCTGTGTTACTCACTGGAGTGAGTAAGCCCATTTTGCAGCTACATTACAAGCAGGAGTATTAATCTCTTAATAGAAAAATTCTCTGATTTTCATATACAGCATGGAAAGGTGAAAAAGCAGTATTTTCTAGACAGAAAAATATATTAAAAATTACCATTTTTAAAATTATTTTATTTAATACTCTATTCTTTTAATCACATTATTTAAATGAACAAGAAAAAGTTGGTTTTGATACTAGAACTGAGCTCATTCTTATTGTTACTTCCATGTTAATTGGCATTTCTGTGCATGATGAGAATTGCAGGTGACTGAGATCATCTTGAGTGAAAGAAAACATAGGACTAAATTATCTCTCTTTATTGTCACTCCTTAAAGAGTGACAATATCTCCTTTATATCTCCTTAAAGAAAATTGAAATTGCCAGTTTTAACAGTTAGATCTAATCATGTCTTCTTTGGTCATTGCTAGAGTCTGAGTATCTAGCCATTTTTCCAAGGAAAAATCAGTAAATAGGATGGTAAATTAAATATTAATGTTAAGGTAGTGAAAACAGCTGAAAAATACTATCCTGTAAATTTTATAGAAACAAAAGCCACCACAGGTTGTTATCCAGTGCCCAGATTCCCTTTTCTGGGGAAGTGCTGGTGAGGACATTTCAGTAGCTTCTGTCCTTACTCCTTTCTGGTCAAGGGTGAAGTCAGAACATGCCAGAATGAGCTCCTTGTTTGCACACTGCAGGTGTGGAGAGACACAGTCCTTCATTATTGCAGTTCTGTGCATCTCTGTAATTTATACAAATTTATGGAAGGAAATAAAGCAGTGGTCTTGTACCTGGGGTTTAGTTTATTTCAGGTAGATTCCAGATTGTCAGAATTCTGGAGTTTTATGAGTATTAATATTTTACACATTTGTACATACTGCATAACATGCACAACTTAAAAAGAACATGCAATCTAAAGAACTTTGCATATGCCTATAACAGAGTGGAGGATGTAGATCTTTCTTGTTTGATACATTTCCTACATATTCTTTTAAAAAAACCTTTTTACTTTTCTTTTTTCTTTTTTTTTCTTTTTTTTTTTTTTGCCTAAGAGAAATGAGCAAAACCAAAGTTAACTTTTAAACTTATGAAGTGCTAGAGTTTGGAGGTAGCTGCCATCCTATAAGATTGCTATTGTGGCAGCTATACTTGCAAATGGAATTGGAAAGGTTTAGAGAAATTACAAAGGTCCTATCCTAATTTTTAATGGAATATTTCCATTTCATAAAATACTCCACCTTTCTAACATTTTTTTTTTCATTCCTAAGAGCAGTAACATAAACTTTTACAAATTTTAAGTTTAATGGAAATCTAGGAGAGAAGAAGCAGAAAGGGAGTTGTTTCCCAAATGAAACACTAGTGAAAATGGTTCCTGGGCATTCTTCCTTCCTGAGTGAAACTTCAAACTCCTTTTACTCCGTCTCTCAAATCATTACAAGTCTGCCTGAATGATTAAGAATTAAATTCCAAAATTACCAAAGAGAGAAAGATGCCAGATTCTCACTGTTCTATACCTGGTGTGCGCGTCTCTCTGTGTGTATGATGTTCCAAATGGCAGGACACCTGTTATGAAACTATTTATCAAAGCATTACCACTTACTTTTATCTTAAGCATGTTCAGATCAAAAGACAGAACCCACCCCCTTTTTTTCTTCTGGTTTCCTGTTATTGTTGCTGCAGCTGTATATTTCTTCTTCCATTTCATTTTGTGCCTTCAATAAAGAGATAAGCTGTGACTCTTGCCTTAAAATTCTGTCAAAATTGTGAATGCTGGTTTTGAATTACTTTGCTACCTGAAGATTGGTGTCAAAGTGACTGTTTCTTCTTTGGAAAGGAGGTAAGAATATATCTATTCTACCTATATCATGTTCAGATTTTTGAAGTTTCAAGCATCTCTCTTGGGTTTGACAAGTTGAATTTGAAGAGATTGATGAAAAAATAAGGTGATGATAAAATATTTGATCCTTCTTAAAGTTTTTAAAACAGCTTTCCTCAAAGTTTTTAACCATAACAGGTTGAAGATTCCTTCTCCTGAGGATTATTTTTCACCTTTCTGTAAAACTATAGAAATGTGGGGAGGTTGCTAATATCCATAGGAGATTGCTCTCATTTCCACTGTATTTACTGACAATTTTTCTGGAAGATAAAAAAATGTTCGTTTTAAAGCAAAGAAAACATGCATTTGCAATCTTTTGCTTGCTACACATTTTTTTTTCAAGCAAGATGGTTACATTGCCTTCTAGACTGTTCTGTTCTAACATAATCTTGATAATTCCACACTCTTCAGTTTATAATACAGATGTCTAAAATGGTCAACAACTGAAAAATTAGATTTTTTTTTCTTTCCTTGCATAGTTAGAAATATATGTCTCATTTTTCACAGCATCCATCTGCAAGCAGACATCCATGCACATATACCCACATATATTATACAAATGAGAAGATATTTAAACATTTAAATTTTAATCACTGTAGAAAAATATTTGTGTTATACTTTCCCTTGCCTTTTTGGGGGGGGGGGGGGGACAGTGTTGTTGGTTGGTTTGGTTTAGTTCTTTGGGTTTGGTCTTGGATTGTTTGGTTTTCTTTGCTTTAATACTTTCTTTGAATGTCATCATACATAAAGCTTTTTACTAATCTCAAATTAAGTAGAAGTAATTTGCTGTGGAATGCTTTGGAATAAAATACTCAAACTTCATGACTAGTTGAAAATAATTTCAAAAGGAGAAGAGTAGTACTTTTTAGGGGAAAAGCATTACTATGTGTTTCCTAAGTGATCAGGAACATGGGATTTAGAAATGCAGTAACATTTGGAGTCTAAAGTAAAAAACACACCACCTCCTGTTTGGTTACAGCTGAGTGCTCAAAATCATTTTTTTATCATTCTTTCAACAGCTATGATTTTGCTTCCCTTCCAGATTATTCATCCAAGGGGAAAAATACAACCCTTTTTAAACTTGGTCTCCTTTTTCAAATGCTACCTTCCTCTAAAGCAGACAAACACATTGCAACTACAATCCTTCATTTTACATTAGCTTGGGTCCATATTAACAAGCACAGTGTGAGGAGGAATCATTTTTTGTTGCAACATTTATTATAATATTGTGAATGCAAACCTCAAGTTCAGTTCATAAGATGAGGCTGCTCTGTATACTACCTGTGCAGCTGATACTTAGGTGTATAACAGGTTGTTCCTATAGCTGATATGGAAAAAGCTGACTGAGTTAAGAATACTGAGCCATGTGAGGATATGAACAGGTTGTTCTCTGGCAGGCAGCATGGATCATGTTCAAACTGCCCAGACTAGGCTCTGAATTTTCACTTTTGCAGGATAAGAAGGACAGTCAGCTAAACCTAGCAACCTGCTTCTCAGCACATGAATTAGAAGCCTGTATTCTGAATATAACTGGTAGAAAAGACTAACACAACTGGTTCTTAAGAGGCTTTGGTTTAAATTTATCACCCACTATAACAAAATATGTGTGGTTTGCTAACATCAGAAGCTGTTATGACTGGGACATCTTTCTCCTTTCCTCACAAGCCATTTTTCTTAAATGTTTTTCTTCTACCTGCTGTTACATGAAACACTCATCATAGTTAAAAACATTACTCCTAGCTCTCTACCAGTCTATCAATGAAGAAAACTCTACAGCTTTCTCCTAAGGCATCTCTGTGATCCTACAAGGAGTAATTTGGTGTCTTCATTCTCTCTGCTTACTGTAAACCTCAGTGTCTCTGCAGAAGGATGGAGTCACTGCACAATGAGTTTCCCAAAGAAGGTCAGCAGGTTATGTTGGGAGAGAAGGGTGACTGAAATAGGCCCTGACTCCCAGGCTTCACAGCACTTCTCTTTGTTCAGGAGGCAAAATCCTCTTCCCAGGGTGCAGTGTGGGAAAAGCAGGAGCATAGGGGGAGAAGATGCTCATGGTTAGAGGATTAACCTGGGAAATGAGGGGTCTGAGATGCTGGCCAATATCGTTCAGAGGGGATTTCAAGCAGCAATTTTGTTTTCCTGGAAGGTGCCTTAAGAGCAAGTATGGCAAGGCCGCTTGGTCACCCCACAAGAAACACTACCATGAACTCAAAAGAGAAAGCCAGAGAAGAGGCAGCTTTGTTCTCTAGTCTCTGTTGGAAAGCGGCAGCCCTGGGGTCTGCTCACTATAACTGAAAGGAGCAAGTAGGTTGTGGCTGGTAGCAATAACAGGATAAGTGGCAGCAATGGTAGGTGGCATGAGAAATGTGAGCCAGGGGGATCAGGGAGCACAGAGCAGATTGTGGTAGTTACTAAACAGCTCCAGGGGTTGGAGTGAGAGGGTGAGTTTTGGCTTCCCCGAGTTCCCAGGTGGTCATGGAGTATCACTTCCCACAGCAAAAGGTTGGTAAGAGAAGCTGTGCCCCCACAGACAGTGAAAGCTTTTCCTTCCCCATCCTGAAGCTTGAGAAAGATCTATAAGTTCTTTCCCACCACATTAGCAGCTTGCATAGGAATTAAACAAATCATGAAGAACCTTTACTCCGATTGTTCTCAAGGGATTATCAAAAAAAAGGGGAACCATTACCCTAATCAGTAAGTACACACAAACTAGATTCCGACCAAAGTTATAAATCTTGTTTACTTTCTTGAAAACTACCTTTCCCTCTTAATTGCATACATAGATTTCTGGATTAAAAATAGGTTTAAATAACTGTATGTAGTAGGGCAAATCTGTGACTTCCCTATTACAGAGGAATAAGATATCATAAAACACCTCCTACTCGCCGGCTGGAAGAAGACGACTACGTGAGGCAATTTTCCCCTTTCCCATGCATGTGGGCAGAGGGTGGGCTGGCAAGGGGAAAAAATAGGAGAAAGGCTGATTGATACACTACTGAAAAGGCAAAATAGACTAAACAGGACTGAAAAAAACACTTTTAGCCCAGAGGTAAAGACAGACCAGTCTGCCTAGTGAAAAATAGCGAGAACAGAAGTGGTCCATTGGATATTCCTCATCAGACAGTTATCAGAACTTTACTTAAAACTTTAGTTTCTTAAATAAAATTTTAAAAACTTCAATTTATCTAAGAATTATAAATGAATTAACAATTACTTGTTTATCTAGCCACTCCAAAAGGAAAAATTTGTAATAACTGAAGCAATATACCACAAGAACAAAATTACTCCAACACACTTCCTTAAAAATCATTTTGGTTTCCAAAATTAATGTTCATTTGAGTAGAGTACTATACTGTGACATGGACGTTAGGCAGGATTTGTGCTGACTGATTGATGCCATCTGTTCACAACTCGGATGTTACTTTCTCTAGCTTTCAAATAAGGAAAACAAAAAACAAAACTAGCTCTTCCCATTCTCAGTTAAGGTATTTAGTGAATTTAGTAGAATTTTCAACATATACTGCACCATTTCTTTGTACAAAAAAAAAAAAAAAGAAAGAAAAAAAAAAAACGGTTTAGCAAAAAGGACTCTCTGCAAGTTATCCGTGCTATAAAGAGAAGGAAGCATTGTAATTAGCAAGTGTTTTGCTAACAGCTAGAAATGTACATCCACTCCGTAGGCTTGTCGGAACATAAATTGCTTTTTTTTTCTCCCGACATCTGGTATCCATTAAAAAAAAAAAAAAAAAAAAAAAAAAAAAGAAAAGAAAAAAAGACCTAGCAACCAAACTTTACATATAGCATCTTAAAGAGGCAACACACAATGGATCATTCCCCTCCTCAAGTACCGGGGAACCCTTTTCCTGAAACAAACAGAATGAGCAGAGTTGGGAGTATCTGGAGCGCCAACAAATTCAGATATAAACCTGCTATGGGTTACCAATCTGCTGTCAGCAGTGTGAGCCTGGGATTATTGACATTCACAATTTCCAGGCAAAATTACCTCCCTGCTTAATTCCTTTGATTTCATCTGATTCTCCCGACTTCCTCGGAGCCCGCTAGTCTGCGGAAAGCCCGCCGCCCTCGCAGCCTGCCCCTCGATGGGAGCCGCTCCTCCCCGCACCCGGGCAGGGCAGGGCAGGGCAGAGCGGGGCAGGGCAGGGCAGGGCAGGGCAGAGCGGGGCAGGGCAGGGCAGGGCAGGGCAGAGCGGGGCAGGGCAGGGCAGAGCAGGGCAGGGCAGAGCGGGGCAGGGCAGGGCAGAGCGGGGCAGGGCAGGGCAGAGCGGGGCAGGGCAGAGCGGGGCAGGGCAGGGCAGGGCAGAGCGGGACAGGGCGGGGCAGGGCGGGGCAGGGCAGGGCAGGGCAGAGCGGGGCAGGGCAGAGCGGGGCAGGGCAGGGCAGAGCGGGACAGGGCGGGACAGGGCGGGGCAGGGCAGGGCAGAGCAGGGCAGGGCAGGGCAGAGCGGGGCAGGGCAGAGCAGGGCAGGGCAGGGCAGAGCGGGGCAGGGCAGGGCAGGGCAGAGCAGGGCAGGGCAGGGCAGAGCGGGGCAGGGCAGAGCAGGGCAGGGCAGGGCAGAGCGGGACAGGGCGGGACAGGGCGGGGCAGGGCAGGGCAGGGCAGGGCAGAGCGGGGCAGGGCAGAGCGGGGCAGGGCAGGGCAGAGCGAGGCAGGGCAGGGCAGGGCAGGGCATAGCGGGACAGGGCAGGGCAGGACAGAGCAGAGCAGAGCACGGCAGGGCAAGGCAGGGCAGGACAGAGCAGAGCAGGTCCGGTCTGTCCCGCCGGGTGTCCCTCACGCCCCGGGAGGAGCCGGCGGCCGTCCCGGCCCTCTCCCCGCTGCCGGGCCCGCGCGGGGCCGTCCCGCGGCCGCTGGGGGGCGCCCGGGCGCTCGGCGGCGGCGGCAGCGAGAGGGGCTCGGTCGGTGCCGGCCGCTCCCGTCAGGGCCGAGGGGCGGAGGTGTCCCG